CCATCGATACCATACCTGCCAGAGCTGTCTCATTACCGGCTAATCTCTTACTATTACAGCAATCGGTGTTGGATTCGGTGAAATCGGATCGTGTGATAAACACCGGGCCTGAAGAGGACAGACGCCGACGGACTATAATTGTCGAGAAACGTAACCAATCATTTGGATTTACTTTACAGGTTAGTTATATTGTATTTATTTATTTAATTATATAGTTTAAGTATGTTTATCAATGTTTAGTAATTTTTTATAATTACTATCTAGTTTAATAATATTTATCATGTCCATCTCGAGCGTTTGTTATTGAAATATAGATTTATTATTGTGTATTAATTTTTTGGTGATTTTAATATTAGATTTTATTTTTATCGATTGTATTGTTTTAAATAATTTTTATTTTGAGTTATATTTTTATCGATTAAATCGGTTTTGCATTTAATGATATAAAATGTTTTATTTTTAATAAGCAGTGATTTTATGTCAATGAATGACATTCATTGAAATGGTAGAAATTAGTGCTTATTATGGTATGGATTAAAAACTGATTAAAATGATAAAAATAACAATTTTGTTAAATCACTTATATTATGGTGAAATTAGTTCAGCAAAAATAATAACTAAAAACAAAACAAATGCTATAATAAAGTGGTATTACAAACATATAAACAAATCAACGAGTTTTTAAATACATCTTAAAACAGTTTACATGGATTTAAAATTTTAAAATTAACTTTTTAAATGACATTTAAACTCAATATAATGAACACCAAAAATATACTGAACTCGTAAACCAAATTTATTTATTTATATTTTTAATTCAAAGTTTTATTATAAATACAAACAAAATAGAGATTTTAAAATTGGTGTCAAAAATACATAAAATAATTACCATTTGAAGTTAAACTAAAATAATGATTACAACTATCTATTAAAGTAGGGAAAAAATTATTTCAATCATCGAGTTTAAATAAGAAAAATTATTTTTACAAACTGTATATAATTGCAAAAATAACAATCAATGTTATGAAAGCTATTGCCAATGTTATATCTATGGGGTGACTTGCTACATAGCATTATTATAGACAAGTATTATTAAACAATTATAATCATATTATATAAAAATATACAACTTGTTTTTACAAATGTACAATCTCATTTTAATTATTGCACAGACCTACGGCATAAAGCACCATCGTGAAGGTGATGTAGAGCTACTGACCTACGTTGACCATGTTGAATACGATGGGCCGGCATTCCGGGGCGGTATGAGACCCGGCGATGTTATACTGTCCATAAATGGCAGGGATATGGAAAGGGCCGATCACAAGACCTTGGTCAAATATATTAGCGCGTGCGAAAAAACCATGAGGATCGTGGTACTTTTTGAGGACTGTGTCCGCAAAGTGGAGCTCCATATCAAGTATTTAAAGC